AAACAGTCTAATAGGGGGTATAAGTGTTGTGCTAGTTGACTCTTCAGAGGTTGTATGGCGTTTCACTACTTACCACCGTGGTGGTAAGACCACTTACTCATCAGCAAAAGGTCTAAACGCCATGATCTTTTGCAACGATGTATAACCAGCACAATATTATGCAGTGATGCAATAGCAACTCTGTTGTGTCCATATGTCCAGAGGTGGCCCACTTGAAAGTTAGCCAAAAAAATATGTGCAAAACTAGCCAACTTTCAAGACAAAATATCTCAATATTTTTCATTCCCAATTTGGTTAACGGCAATGGTAAACAAACACACACACGCACACACAGCAAATAACACCAAAACATAGAAAATAACAAAAAAAAAAAAAACACAAACAACCAAACATTTAGGTACTAACACATCGTTGCCACATACCTAACAACCTTAAAAAAACGCCGTCAGCCATAAATGATTTAGCTCAGCTAAAACCACGGAGTTCATTATACAACATTGGCCTGTTTTAGGTACCGTACGAACCATGGATGTCCTAAACGCTATTGCCCGTCCTCTTCCTGCCCGGAAGAGACCGGGCAGGAGAGGACGTTAGTAAGTCATATATACATATATATATTGGTAGCAGTCTTTCTTGTACACATATGTTGTTGAATACGACCGCGAGGGTGAGATTAATAGTTTTAACACGAATCTTCTCAATATTTCTTACGTTTCTCTTCGCTGTCGAGCGTAATTGATAAATTAACTCTCCAAAATTCATTCTATATTTCTGGTCTGATGCCTGAACGCGTTTCTTAATGCTTATTACATTTTCAAAGACTTTGTTTACACAGATTGATTGATTGATAAAGATTAAGCCACCCAAGAGGTGGCATGGGCATAAATAGCCCGTAAGTGGTACAATTTTTTGTTCAGTAAATCTTTTCAGTGTTTTGAGGTCGCATTTAATCGTCAAGCTGCTATCGCGGGGGAGGATACTGCTTGACAGTCTTTATGAGGGTCTCCAGCTGCTGGACACCATTTTTGACCAGAAGAGTGGCAGTGTTGATGGTTTCAGGGTGGTTACTGCAAGTTTTTGGGACTCTTAAAGCTCTTCTAAGGTCATTGGTTGCTTCACATTCCAGGAGATAGTGAAGTAGTGGCTTTTCTGTGACAGTTTGACAGAAGATGCACTCTCTCTGTCGGGGTTCCAGTTGCATCTGTAACCTAGACGTAGAAGTTTACACATAAAATACATCATACTTATACTCGTTTTGGGTGAGGTGATATGATATAAAAGTTTTGGGTGAGGTGACAGAGCATATGCCAGAACACGAACCAATAGGTATAAATTGGGTATGAAAACATAAGAATGAAAGTAACTGCAGAAGGCCTATTGGCCCAAACTTCCTCTTGCTGCTTCTATGTTGGTTCCGGGTCTTGAAGTGGGTAGAATATAATTGTGCATTAATTGGCTGTTGATTGCTGGTGTTGACTTTTTGATGTGTAGTGCCTCGCAGATGTCGAGTCTCCTGCTATCGCTGTATTTATCGATGATTTCTGTGTTGCTTGTTAAGATTTCTCTGGTGATGGTCTGGTTGTGAGAAGAGATTATATGTTCCTTGATGGAGCCCTGTTGTTTATGCATTGTTAATCGCCTAGAAAGAGACGTTGTTCTCTTGCCTATATACTGAGTTCTTTGGGGCTTACAGTCCCCAAGCTAGCATGTGAAGGCATAGACGACGTTGGTTTCCTTCAAGGCGTTCTGTTTGGTGCCTGGGGAGTTTTTTATGGGTAGGTTGGCCATTTTTTTGTTTTTGTAGAAAATTATCAATTGTATTTTCTGATTTGTGGCTGTATGGATAACGTTCCTCTCAATAATGTCTTTCTGGACACTTTCCTCCGTTTTTTGAGCAGTCGAAAAGAAGTTCCTGTAAAACAGTCTAATAGGGGGTATAAGTGTTGTGCTAGTTGACTCTTCAGAGGTTGTATGGCGTTTCACTACTTACCACCGTGGTGGTAAGACCACTTACTCATCAGCAAAAGGTCTAAACGCCATGATCTTTTGCAACGATGTATAACCAGCACAATATTATGCAGTGATGCAATAGCAACTCTGTTGTATCCATATGTCCAGAGGTGGCCCACTTGAAAGTTAACCAAAAAAATATGTGCAAAACTAGCCAAGTTTCAAGACAAAATATATCAATATGCGTCATTCCCAATCATATATATTGATATACATTCCCAGTCATATATATATATATATATATATATATATATATATATATATATATATATATATATATATATATATATATATATAGGGTAGTTAACGGTATCGCTAATGGGAGCCTTGAACAACATTAACAGTCTCGCTATTGGAAGCGTGTAACAATAAAATGTATGTCATGTTGAAGGTGAAAGAGATTAGAGAGGCAGCATGGGACAAGTAGCCATGGTGGGAGGCTACCTCCTAGACGGCCACAGAGCAGGGGCGAGGGGACCACCAGAGGTTAGCCAGTACGGCCCGATCGTTATATTTTAAAGAGGACCCCTCGGGAGACCCAGCCAGTCAAAGGTGAGAGGTGGTCGAGGAGGCCAGCCACAGACGCCACTCGTGTCTTACTTCCAAACGAAACACCTCAGTTCTGGATCCCTTGCCCCCCCCCCCCCCCCCAAAAAAAAAAAAAAATCAAGATGCGAGAAGCGGATAAGAATTGTCAAGAGATGGGGGAAAGGGGGACTCCTTCCCTGTATCAGACACAAGGAGGTCTGTTACGTCATTTGCGCGGGCTCTTGCGTCACCGTTAAAGACGATCCGCGATTGATTGATTTTCTCAACTTGAAGTACTTCTTGCCCGTCATAGTTCACGAACGTCTTCCACATTTCACCATTAAAGAAATTGGAAACTTTTAACAAAATATTAATAAACTGTCTTTATCAGTTATATATATTAAAAAAAGAAAAGAAAAAAAAAGCGTATCCCCCGAGTGTAACTATTTCTGACGGAAGGAGACTATATTTTACAACTGACATGAAATTATATGCAATTTTGAATTGCTAAATTCGGAACTCCATTTCCCTCTTCTTTGACCAAAATAGAAACATTTGTTAGCGCAAATTGCAATAGACGTCTACTGTAAACAACAGTTGATGAACGGTGTGTCAACGAGGCACCAGTACGTCGTCATCAACGACACCAACTCCACTAACCCGTTAATCACACGAGTGCCACATGGCACCATTTTCAGACCTCTCATATTCCTTATATACATCAATATCTTACTGTATGTTTCTAACATTCTTAAACTTAAACTATCTGCTGATAAGTATACACTTATCTTCCCCTAGCCCCAACTCACACACCATAAAGTACACACATGTAAAAAGTCCATTCATGAACGTCAACCAACACATGGAAGGAACTTACTACACCACCTTCATCATCTGTAGCCCAAGCCTCCAGAAATTTGGAAACAAATAATCTAACCAAACAGACCTTCAGATAAACAAAATAATAATTGCGAATAAACTTTATAGAAACTTCCTAGGCTCGCAAATTGCCAAGACACTTCAGCATTCACATTCACCACAACAAAAACTATTCAAAACAGTTCGAATGCTTTCACAAATCAGATACTACGTCCTCCCGCTATCTAACTTACGATATCTGTGAATGGGCTTACCATCGTACTTTGGCTTAGTACTTTCTCCTCATAATTACTGCCTTCAAACCCATCACGATGTAGCAAAAATTAACCATCATAACTACAACAAATTCTGTCTTCAGACAACATATAGCCCCCCTCTGTTTAGATTTTAAACTTGCAGTCATTTCACGCATTATAATGCCAAATCCACACTTACAAATCCGCATTCCTCAATACTAACCTTGACATGAAACTCTTGCCACATGGATGCAATGGAACCCATGAACATTACAATGGAACCCACCAGAAATAGGTACAGTATATTTTTTATGCTTACATTTAAAATAAATTTATGCAAACAAGCCATGCAAATAAAGACAATACTTTATATGGAACTCCCTAAATAAGTAAATAATTTTTCAACCTAAACTCTGTTCAAAAGTCAAACAAAGAAGTACCTAACTTTCCCCTACACAGAACTCATCTTGTGCTACTAACTTGCCTAGTTCTGTACTACCTAAAATATAACTCTCTCATCAATATCATTTCTCATAATCAACTCCATCCCCTTGGTACTAATGTTATATACAGCAGTCGTTACCTGCTGGAATTTCTAAATGTATACTTCTTCAATCACTTATTAAATTTTTGTATAATATTAACTGTTCACCTTGTAACTTACAAATCACTGCAAATTCCCAAAACAAACCTCAACATCTGTGTTACATTTAAGTCTTGTCCAAAGTGGTATGCGTGCTGGTGGCTTTGTGTCTTCCTCTTAATCACCAAAACATGTAATGAAATAACCCACGTTACCGTCGTAAACAAATACTTATATAACACGTGTGTGTGTGTGTGTGTGTATATGTATATATATATATATATATATATATATATATATATATATATATATATATATATATATATATATATATATATATATATATATATATATATATATATATATATATATATATATATATATATATATATATATATATATATATATATATATATATATATAGTTATGTTAAGTCTACATACTCAATAGCAGCTCTCATGTAAATATAAACTGTATAAAACTTTCGGATGGCTCCTTTGCCAAATTTCCTGAAGATTAATTGGACGTTGATGAGTTTGGTATACAATGGCAACGTTATTATCCTAACGTTGGCCTCTGCAGTTATATTTGTAGTTATAAAAACATAAACATATGCCGTCTCCTCACTCTGTGCTGATTGTGGGATCTTCCCATTCATCTGTCTAGGATAAAATATAGTAACTATTTCTCAGACCACTCATGAAGGATGACTTAGACTGCATGTGGAGTGGATGTGAAGTAGAGACGTGGAGTGTTCTACTCACTTCATCAGCATCCTCCCATGTAACACCGACGATGGACTTCAACAACGAGGGGTGATAGTGGCCGCCACATGAATTCATAGAAACCTGCAAAGATGTAAAAGTTAGGCTAGGCTAGGCTAGACTATGTTGGGTTGGTAAGGTTGAGCTACTTTTAAATCATCAAAAGTTACTAGACTTTTGGATCGTGTTAAGATCGCTTGATTATGTAAAACCATGATTAAATTTCATTGTGAATGCTTCATGTCATCGGAATTGTGAAAGGCAACTTTTATTACATTGGATAATTGTTGTATTTATATTTGATCTGTTACAAAAATACTATATAACCCTTACCCAAGGATTCCGAGTATGTCAGTTACAGGCAGTTGTGGAACTGCATGATTTGAATACAGTACATTATTTTACTTTATTCCTTAAGCAAAAAATAAGAGCATCGCATGTGACTACAACCAAACAACAGAACATCACGTGTGCCTGTAGCCCAGTAACACAGCCCCTTCTCCCGTGGACCTGCATTTTAATAGCCCTCTATAGGTAATTATCCAAATAGTACAGCCTTCCCTAAGCAATTATCTAAGCAACACAATACCCATGTGCCAGTACCCAAACAACTCAGCCCCATGTGCCAGTACCCAAACAACTCAGCCCCATGTGCCAGTACCCAAACAACACAGCACCCATGCACCAGTACCCAAACAACACACCACCCATGTGCCAGTACCCAAACAACACAACACCTATGTGCCAGTACCCAAACAACACACCACCCATGTGCCAGTACCCAAACAACACACCACCCATGTACCAGTACCCAAACAACACAACACCCATGTACCAGTACTCAAACAACACAGCACCCATGTGCCAGTACCCAAACAACACAGCACCCATGTGCCAGTACCCAAACAACACAGCACCCATGTGCCAGTACCCAAACAACACAACACCTATGTGCCAGTACCCAAACAACACAGCACCCATGTGCCAGTACCCAAACAACACAGCACCCATGTGCCAGTACCCAAACAACACAACACCCATGTGCCAGTACCCAAACAACACAGCACCCACGTGCCAGTACCCAAACAACACAGCACCCACGTGCCAGTACCCAAACAACACAGCACCCATGTGCCAGTACCCAAACAACACAGCACCCACGTGCCAGTACCCAAACAACACAGCACCCACGTGCCAGTACCCAAACAACACAGCACCCATGTGCCAGTACCCAAACAACACAGCACCCACGTGCCAGTACCCAAACAACACAGCACCCATGTGCCAGTACTCAAACAACACACCACCCATGTGCCAGTACCCAAACAACACAGCACCCATGTGCCAGTACCCAAACAACACAGCACCCACGTGCCAGAACCCAAACAACACAGCACCCATGTGCCAGTACCCAAACAACACAGCACCCACGTGCCAGTACCCAAACAACACAGCACCCACGTGCCAGTACCCAAACAACACAGCACCCATGTGCCAGTACCCAAACAACACAGCACCCACGTGCCAGTACCCAAACAACACAGCACCCACGTGCCAGTACCCAAACAACACAGCACCCATGTGCCAGTACCCGAACAACACAGCACCCATGTGCCAGTACCCAAATAACAAACCATCTTTGGGAAATAGTTATTACAATAACTTCTAATTTAAAATATTAAAATAACCTTTTATGAGAAAAATTGTCGGTTCAGGTTTAATTAACAAGTTAATACTCAATTTATAATTGCATAGTTAAGGGGAGCGACGGCATTACCCGGGCCAGCCGAAGCCGCCCTCACTGCTACGTCACGCACCATAAACAATTACGAAACTCAATTTGTCTCCTACTTCTTATTAATTATACGACTTAAAGAAACTAACTAGTTCTTAAAACATTAATTCAATTAACATTGTTAACTAGTTCTTAAAGAATCAATCGAATTAGCATCGTTGATTCAAATTTATAAACAGATAGAGCCTTAAACTTTAAATGAGTAAATAGAATACGAAGGGTTTTCTCCTTGACTCAGGAGGTGGAGAGAGGAGGAAGGTGATGACAGTCATAACAGGATCCGGACCGTTACTATACATGGCGATGGACACGAGCAAGTCGTTATTACGCACCCTAACTTTTCACTTCTGATGTTCTCCTCAACTTCGCCACTTCTAAATCTAGTTGTGCCCGCCTCACCCTTCAGCTATAGATAAGTGATGCCCTGTTTAGTAACCGAGCATTGATACTGTGGCCATGGTATATATGTTTAGGGGGAATGGCAGGGGGGGTGAGGGTTGTTGAGGGCGGTTACGAAGCAAGACAACACTAATATCTTTACGTTAGCGCATACGATTAATATCCTCATAAATAATTGTGAGATAATGTTAAATAGGACACAGACTTAAACCCAATCTAAAAGTGACGGAACCCGACCAGCCTGTATCCGTCCCGTACGCCAGCCCATCCACCCTGCAGTGTTGGAGAAGGCTAGCCCCAAACGCTTGGTCTCCAATCTTAAACAGACATTCACCATGATAGATAAACAGATTAACATTCTTAAATGATACATATACACCTCATATTTGTAGGTGCGAGTTTGCCCTAATTTGTGATATTAATTTACAGCTTTCTTCTTTAACTGGCATAATAGAATTGTTTAGATATATTAGTTTGTTAGATAATAATTAATATTTTTAGTCTATAAGAATTCCGGACAAGGCATTATAAAATTTAACTACTCGGTGCTCCAATATGGCGACCAAATTTCGTCAGCCGAACCCTTATTTAGAGGAATTAAATTCGTTGAAGACATTAGCACGGTGGAAAACAACATGAGAGGAAAATAGGAGAGAAAATGTAGAGAACAGCACCTGCCAATGGGCACGACAAGGACCAAGAAAACTAACTATACCTGATCGAAGTCTACAATGAGAAGAGGTATATCATCTGAGCAAGCGAACGTTGGAATTTCTTGAGTGCATGAGTCGTTTTGAAAGGACGTGGAGGAGTTGAAGTTTATGAGCAGGAAGACCATCAACACGGCTCTCCAGTACCTGAAGATCATGTTGCCTGACCTCAACCGCTAACTGAAAAACACCAATGTCAACTTTGTAAGTCCGATATAAGACAAAAAACCGGTTGATACAGTAACGAGTAAATTTGACTATGAACACTACAGTATTCATAATGGGGGGAAAGGTAATTTACATCCTTAAATTTATATTTTAAGATGATAATTAATTATGAAATTAAAAGAGTGCAGAACATAATTTGTGGGACATTACAAGACTGATTTAGAACAGAAACAGCAAGACATAACTGTAAATTGGTAAAGTGATATATACACTGAAGCCTCAACACCAAGAATGTCATAGTTATGAAACCTAATCATATTACTTTTCTCGTTTTGTAACAACTGTATTAACAAATTGTTGGGGGGCGGAAAGTCTGTTAAATTTTACCGAGGACCTTCTAGGCCAACAACTAACCTTCCCCAGGATGCAGTTCACAACAGTTGTCTAACTCCTGCCCACCTAGTTACTGCCTTGTGATCGGAAGTATTACCTGAGAGAAACCATGACTCGCCCAGAGATCAAACCCCAAGGTCCTCGGTTGTGAGCCGGGGACATAGCCTACTGTGCTACAAGGCGGCCCCACTGTGCTACAGGATCCCACTGTGCTACAGGGCCACAATGTGCTACAGGACCCCACTGTGCTACAGGATCCCACTGTGCTACAGGACCCCACTGTGCTACAGGATCCCACTGTGCTACAGGATCCCACTGTGCTACAGGACCCCCACTGTGTGCTGTGAGGAGAGAGGGAGAGCGAATGAATCAGTTTAATCTTGAAATTCACAAATATTCAAGTTCATTGCAATTTAATCTTGAAAACCGCAATCATTAAGCTCATTGCTCAATTTTGAAAAATGGGAGTCCACAGATACAGAAAATGCAATGATATAATACATTAATTATACCTGTTTACATTTTCCTCATGATCTACGCCGTAAGCATGACGTAAATGTCATAATTATTAATAGTAATGCTTTAACAGAACCTGAGATTATATTTAAAAATATATTATATTTCTATAGCAAAAGGACTTTTACATGACGTATTTTACTGATCCTGTTTGCATTTATTGTCATTAGTTTAATAACTACTCTCTTTCCGTAAAGATGGATTGGTATTATCTTTTTCAGTGTTCTCATCAGAGTATTATTCCTACGTTTTCTGCTCGGGTCTTGCTTGATCTGGCCTCCATGTTGTGCATAATGTGTATGCAACTTGTAGACACAGCTAACTAAGCTCATGCTGAAATATGTTTTAAATGAAAACACTTGCAAAATAATGAATAATGAATAAATAAATTATACCTATAATAGAGAATGTCTGTTTGTCTGTCTAGAGTCGGAGGCTACACGTTTTAAGCTAGCCTCAGGGTCATTCCATGTGAATTCACCAAAGGCCTCCCACTCGACCCTTTCTAAATCTAATGAAATTTTGTAATAAAGTAGCCAATGAAAATGTGCAAAATATTAGAGCTCAATCTACTTTGGTTCTTAAATAACAGGTCCATATTGAATGGGCTCTCGTCCCGTTAATGCGTAAATACCACAAAAATTACCAACTTTGACCCTTTGTTAAATCACGACTAGTGCCCAGAGAGGTGTGAAATGTGACATAACCAGGGCAACTTTTGATGCGGAATACAGCAGTGTAATAAAAAAATGTAGTTTGGGTAGCCATTCAACGGGATGTATGGACCTGTTATTTAAGAACCAAAGGAGATTGAGGTCTAATATGTCACTTGGGGTCTAGGGCTATCTTACTACGAAATTTCATGGCATTTGGAGAGGGGTCGAGTGGGAGCCATAGGTGACTTTTTGGTGATTTGAAATGGAATGACCCCTCACCCAAATTTGTAGTTGGAATGGTCTGGGGTACGGGACGGACATAGGCTGGTCGGCGTGGGCCTAAGTAAAAGGCTTTCACAAATATTAGCATTTATAGACACCCATGAGATTAACATGGAGTCGAGTGTAGTTACCTAAGTGTAGTTACAGGACAAGAGCTACGCTCCTGGTGTCCCGTCTTCCCAATATTCTTGGTCATATAACGCTTTGAAACTACTGACGGTATTTACCTCATCCACCTCCTCACTTAACTTGTCCCAACCGTCTACCACTCTGTTTGCAAAAGAAAACTATCTAATAATAATTTTTTCGTCACGTTTGTTTCCTTAGCTTGAATTTGTGACCTCTTGTTCCTGAAGTTGCTGGTTTCAGGACTCCCTCTTTGTCAATTTGGTTGATTCCTGTTATTATTGTGTAAGTGGTGATCATGTCCCCCTTTTTATTTTATCTTCTAGCTTTGGCACATTTAAGGCTTCTAGTCTCTCCTCGTAACTCTTGTTTTTCTGTTCCGGAAGCCATTTTATAGTATGCATTAGTACCTTTCCCAGTTTATTGGTGTGCTTCTGAGCACCATACAATTGCTGCATATTCCAATTGTTATCTCACTAAAGTCATGAACAGTTTCTTTAGTATTTCGCCATCCATGTAATTAAAAGCAATTCTGAAGTTGGAAATGAACGCATATGTTCCTCGCACAGTGTTCTTGGAGGTGAGGGTGGTAACAAATTTTGCTGGCAATATTCTGGCTGCTACTGATGTCAACTCGGGAATTTGACATAATAACAGATCCTAGGCTTACTTAAAAATAATTTTGAAAAGACATGTAAAACAATAAACCTGCTAACAAAACACTAACCGAGAACCAGCTTATTATTTGAACTCTTCAAAACCTCTAAATAGTTACTTGATTATCTAAGGTAAGCCTTGGTTAGGAATGGACCGGCTAAATGAAGACAATTTCCAGATCTTACCCATTCACCCATCTTACGTTTAGAAAGAATACGATAATATTATTGTGGATTAGACCTTTGAAGCCAAATTTTCATGTCTAACGAGAAGTGAACCTGTCGTGAAATTTATCCCTCAGTTTAAATATGAAGTCTTGGAAGCCGTTGGAGGCAGGTAAACACAATTACAAGTTTTAGATGAATTATGAAATTTAGGCTTACGGCTAATCGATGGAATTGGACGATTATTCAGCACTAGTACAAGTTTTAGAAAATCTAGCATCAGTTACCTGCCCACCCACACCGTACTTCACCAGACTAGCACGGGTCTTCAAACACTCCTCCACAAATATATATATATATATATATATATATATATATATATATATATATATATATATATATATATATATATATATATATATATATATATATAAATATATGTATATATATATAAATATATATATATATATATATATATATATATATATATATATATATATATATATATATATATATATATATATATATATATATATATATATATATATATATATATATATATATATATATATATATATATATATATATATATATATATATATATATATATATATATATATATATATATATATATATATATATATATATATATATATACTGTATATATAAATATATATATATATATATATATATATATATATATATATATATATATATATATATATATATATATATATATATATATATATATATATATATACAGTATATAAAGGGAAGCCTCCCTGATATCCAGTCTTCTGTTATCGCCAACTGACATCGGCGAGACATTTACATGAAGACAACCAAGCCCATGTATCAATAGTCAATTAGCATCAAATTACACTCTGCCAATTTCTAGAACACGACCGAACTTACAACATACTGCCCCAGCCATCATGCAAACAGGAGATTGACAGGATGCAATGGACTTATAAGTGAGGTGCTCCACCTTCCTCTCATCTTCGGGTATAATATCATGCAGCAAGGAAATTTGTAATCTTACGGGCTCACTATAGCCTCTGTTACGTGGACATTTAGTTCTGAGTAGATAATCAAAAACACCAACAACAATTTGTAATCCTTTGAATTCTGCATCTGACAATGTTAACAAGAATGAACGAAACGCATCTTTTAGCGTCAGGCTAAAAAGCTGTAAAAGTGAACTTAGGAGAGTTCATTTTTCAACTTCCTTCTCAAGTGAATAAAAATGTAAGGAAAATAGAGAAGATTTGCATTAGAATCAAAGGGTGTACTTTCTTGCAGGGATTCATTCCTAGGAATTTTAGGATCGAACACCATAATATTAACGTTAAATCGAACTAATGCATCGTACTAAAGTGGTCAGGTTCAAACGCTTCTGTGTGGTAAGACTGAAAATCATAAACAGCAACTCTTGTATTATCCTGAAAATTATGGTATATATATTAACAAAAGACTGACTCCAATGTATAAAAACATTGTAAATTCATATATGAATTTACGAATTTGAAGTAAAAAAAAAGATTGTTACAAGTTGTCAGAATAGGTATAAGGTGTGCAGATTAGATGAAATTGTCAATGTAAAAGTATCCGCTGAAATCTGATTAAGACCTTTTGTGCTCTTAGTAATACATATTGTGTCCTACCGCTTACAGGATGCGTATAAGGTGCATTATAATCTAACCGCCACCGGCGGCGGCAGCAACCAATGGCTCGACAAAACTACTTCATATTGAACGCTCGTCAAATCGAAGGTTCGGAGTAGCTTCGCCTATATAATCTCATCTGCCACGTCTGCTGATCTCTGATCTCTGGTATACAACGTCAATGTCTTACAAATTGTATACAATTTTAAGTACTCTCTTTGTATTCATATCTTCATGTATAAATTAATGTGGAATGAAAAGGCCTGTTGACCTTTACGTTAGCAACATGAACAATACCATATTTATATGGCACGCAGCATCTTTAATTATAAGTCGATTAAGGCTGTTGGCCTATAGTGTAGGTTTCCATATAAATGTTAAATTTGAGAATGTAAAATAAGACTGACAAAACAATCAAATAAAGAAAGGAACAATCAAATATTAAAGTATATAAATCTGGTAATCTCGAGTCACTGTATAAAGCGAAGAAATCTTGAGGCTCACACCAAAATTAACTCGCGCATTTTCAGTCACATCAAAGATTTTTATACGGT